GCTTGCTAGTCTTCCTGACTCATTCTCAGAGGATTGTGAGATTTCAGGGATTTGTCCATTTCTAGATTTTCCAGTTTGGCAGTATATATTTATAACATTCTCTTCTTACCCTTTGTATTTTGAAGTGTCTGTGGAAACTTCTTTCTTGTTACTGATTCTGTTTGTGAGAAATTTCCATTTCTTAGTGGACCTACCTAAAGGTTTGTGCATTTTGTTTACTTTTTCCAGAATCAACTTTTGGTTTCATTGATTTTATGTATTAACACTTTGATTTCTACTTTGTTATGCCCACTCTGAATTTTAATATTTTCTTTCTTGGCTTTTGGTTTCATTTATTCTTCTCTTACTACATCAAATTAAAGTTAGATTACTTATTTGAGGTTTTTCTTGTTTCTTGATGTCATCTCATAGTTCTATAAAGTTCCCTCTGTTACTGCTGTCTCACATAGGTTCTGGTAACTGTTGTCTTAGTTTTCCTTTGTCTTCTGATGGCTTTAAATTTCTCTTTTAACTCATTAAGCCAAGAGCCATTCCATTATGTGTTGTTAAGCCCCAAATATTAGATATTTCCCCCCTTTTCTTTTTGTGTTTGATTTCTAACTTGAAATCATTGTGATAAGATGTTATGTTACATTATTTCAATCTCCATGAATTTATTGACACTTGTTTTGTGACCTAACAGGTGGTCTATCCTCACAAATATTCCATGAGCAATTGAAAACAGCATTTTTGGGGGGTTTCTGTACCCTATAAATATCTGTTAAGCCCATGAAATCTAATTCCTCACTTAGGAATATTGTTTTCTTGTTTATTTTCCTGTTTGATATGTCTATTGGTGAAATTGAGATGTTGAATTTCCCTACATTGTTGTGTTGCTGCTAATGTCTGTTTTCAGATTTGATAATAGTTGCCTTATAAATTTATAGTAACACAAAACACCCTTTGCAAAATAAATCAGGTTACCTAAATTTTGATAAGAATATATCTTAAGGAGAATGGCAAAATGACATCCAGGATTATAATGGGAGCCTTCTCTCATCAGTCACATGTTTGCTTAAGGAGAATGGCAAAATGGCATCCAGGATTATAATGGGAGCCTTCTCTCATCAGTCACATGTCTGCTTTATGGGGTTCAGTATGTAACACAACCCTCTGGTGTACCAGGGACAGCTGAAGGAAGAAGTGAATGAGTATGAGTATGAAAACCCCTCCTTTGAGAAACAGATACCTTCTACGCTAACTCATTGGCTTTTCGTGCTTGTTTCTCAAAGTATTCAGCCCTAAATCACCAAAACCTATCCAGGAGAAGTTCTGCTACTTCCTAAATACACATTGGCTTGAAGGGCCAACTTATCTGCCAGTTACCCAAGAGGGAGCAGATTCTGCCAAAGAATTCTATTGATGGGACCTGTCTCCCACAAAGGTTCAGACAGGCTTTTTCCAAGATGACCAGATTAGGTCTTCTCTAATGCATGTAGCTCTGGTATGTGGAACTAAGGTCAAACAAGGCTCTGTGAGACTTGGGAAAACTTTATTTTTTTTTAAAGATTTATTTATTCATACAGAACTGGGGTATGGGCCAGAGGTGCAGGGGCCATGAGAGGCTTCACCAGAGACAGAGTGGGGAGCAAATCAGGCCGACTGATGAAGTACACTGCTAAGAGAGCAGCTGGCGGGTCAGGAGAGGTCTCCCATGCCATGTGCGTCACCTCCGGGGCAGGGGATCAAACTCATGCTGAAGTGTCTTTAGCTTCTCAGTGCTGTGCTTTAATCACGCCACCAGGGAGGGCCCAGACTTGGGAAAGCTTTTACTTGACTTAATGCAATGACCTAGATATCTCCAGATACAACACTTTTACTGGAGAAACCTATATTAAGTCATGTCAAACATCTACAGCAAGGTTTCATCATATGAATTCACCCTCTCTTTGACATGTGAGACCCCCCCCCTTCTTCTCTTCTTGATGCCCTAGATCCCTTAGCATGGTACATAAATCTCTGGTTTACCCCATTCATTTTAGAATTTATGTCCATGTAAAGTCCCTACATCTATGTAATTAAATCTTAAATTTAAATTAGGTCTTTTCTTCTACTAATCTGTCTGATGTTTATTTGTTTCTGTTTGTAGCATCAGAAGAACCTGGAGCGGTAGAGAAAATTTCCTCCGCAAGTCCCAGTCAGGGGTAAGACATTGCTGTTTTCACCTTATCACCAATTATTTGTGCTGACCAAACAGCCTGAATTGTCTTAGGCTCTCTGGCAGTGTATTTGGGGCTCATAAAGGACTTCTGACCTTCCGTTTTTCTGCCAGTGGTAGCAGGGAACAGTCCATAGTTTCTCTATACTGCAGCTTATTAATAATAAACAAGTCAAAATACATTGAACACTTCTCCTAACTTAGGTTATAGTCCATATCTTTATAAGTTAGGCATTTTCTTTTCATACATATACACACACATATATGTATACATATATGTGTGTGTATATGTGTGTGTTTGTGTGTGTGCGTGTGTCACTCTTCATTTTGCACATTTTTTCATCTTGGTTGTAATACTTGTGGACTTCCCACCACCAATTCACTCATGTTATAAGTTAGGCACTTTCTTCCTTTTTAATATTTGAAAAAAAGAGACCCCATGCAAAAATGGTAGAGAGGTATTTAGACTTGAAATCAAGATCTAAGTTCATCACTAACTGATATTATGCTGTTTCTTGAGTTTTCCTTTCTGAGAGGAAAATCTGTTCTCAGATTTTAAAAAGTTGGCATTCAGAGCCAGCCCAGCAGCACTATCCAATCATAGCCCCCCACTCTTAGGGACACAATAGCTACGTTTGAATAAGGCCAATTTCCCAGTACACTAAGTCTCACTAAACTTAATTATTTTTAAAGTCTCCAAGATTTCTTGAAAAATTAAAAATAAGATTACCATATGATCCATCCCTCTTCTGGGTAAAAATCTAAATGAATTGAAATCAAGGTGTTGAAGTAATATTTGCACAGCTTGTCCATTGCAACATTATTTGTAGTAGCCCAAAAGTGAAAATAATGATCAATTAAGGGTAAACAAATGTGGATTATACATATGTTGGAACATTATTCAGTCTTAATATGGCTAGAATATGGATAAACCTTGAGGACATTATATGAAGTGAAATAATTTAGTCACAAAAAGACAAATACTGTATGACTCTACTTATATGAGCCACCTAAAGTGGTTATATTAATAAAAATAGGAAGTAGTGGTGGTTCGTGGGCGATGGAGGAGATGGTAAGTTGTTTCATGGTATCGAGTGTGAGTTTTGCAAGATGACAAAATTCTGGAGATTTTTTGCATGGCAATATCAATTTATTTAACACTTTTGTGCAGTAGGCTTAAAAATGGTTAAGATGGTAAATTTTTATGTTATGTACATTTCATTACATTTTTAAAAGTCCAAGGACCTCATGTTCCTTGTTGCCACTCTTTAGAAGAAATTTATACCATCATTGTCATCTCTTCAAGTCTCACTCCTTTCTCAACCCACTACCATCTTCCTTATACCCTTAGCATTTCATTAAAACGGCTCTTGCTAAAATTGTAAATGACCTCTCAAATATTTTGGTGCTCATTTTACTCAAACTCGGGTATTGGACACTGTTCTCTTATTCTTTGACTCCTCTGATATTCCCCTTGGTTCCTTCAAGTCTCATTACAGCTTTCTCCCCTCCATTTTAATAAGAATACTTACTTATTTATGCATACAAGAACTGTGGTACAGACCAGAGGTGCAGGTGTGTGTGTGTGTGTGTGTGTGTGTGTGTGTGACAGGATTCACTAGAGACAGAATTAGGCACAAAACAGGCAGACTGAAATACAGTGCTGAGGAGAGCAGCAGGTCAGATTGGAGTTGTCTGCTTAGCCATATGTGTTAGCTCCCTGGCCTGGGATCAAACTCATGCTTCAGTGGATGTGGATAACTTCATAGTGCTGAGACTTAACTCCTTGAGTCCCACCATTGCTTTTTTTTTTTTTTAAAGATTTATTTATTTTGTGCATACAGAACTGGGGTACAGGCCAGAGGCTCAGGGGCGGTGAAAGGCTTCACCAGAGACAGAGAGGGGAGCAGAACAGGCAGATCGACGAAGTACACTGCTGAGGGGAGCAGCGGGCGGGTCAGGAGAGGTCTGCCACACCAGGTGGTCACCTCCCAGGCAGGCAGGAATCGAACTCATGCGGAAGCGGCTTTAGATTCTCAGTGCTGTGCTTCAACCCCCTGCGCCACCAGGAGGGCCCCACCATTGCTTTTTAAAGTCTCAACCCCTTAATAATCAACATACAGTGTACTTCTCAAATGTTAAGTGACTGGTCTCCTCTTCTAGCTGCGTTTTCATAATTTCCAGGAAAGTGTCATGATATTTAACTCTTCAGTGATTTTTCACATGTTGTCTCCTGTTTGGAGTGTCCCTTCCTGATTTTTTTGGGCTACTGGCCACTAGCCTTTCAAGACTAAGTATCCTCTATTTGTGTTACCACAGTATATTAAGGTGTGATGTGCTTGCCAATTTTATCTGCTTTTTCATCGTATCTGTTTTTTTTTTTCAACGCAGGTACTAAAACCTTAACTCCTTCATGATATCGCTTAGCAGCAGGCTTCTTTGTAATTGAACACTTGGTTTGGGGTGCTGGAATGTCTAAGTGGCTGCAAGCACGAATTAAGTGTGTGTTGAAATCGGCGGGCACGCAACGCAGTGGGGACCGGGCGAAGGCAGTAATTTAACTCAGGCCTCCCCCGATCACCAGTGACATTCCAAGGCGTTGGGCCCCCGGAGACGAATGAGGCTACCCTGACTGCGCAATGGGCCAACACGCAGGCGCCCGCGTGTACCGCGCAGGGAGGAGGCCTTGGGTAGGGGAGGACGCGCGCAAGCGCAGGCTGCCGAGAGTCCCTCATTCGGCCCGCCCTCTCCAACCCTCCGCGGAAGGAACTCAGAACAAGTCATTTCCGGTAAGGGAGGCACTCAAAAAAGTCATTTCCGGTAACGGGTGCCACGCTTTCCTGACCGCAACATGGAGGCGCCTAGTGCAGATGATGAACTGGTGAGAGGCTGCTCTGGGGTTGCTTAGCGGAGCAGCTGAGCCAGACCGAGTCTTAAGCTCCCCCTGCCCTTTCTTTTTTCGTTCCCAGGTTTCCGGGGAATTGGTGTCTGTGGCACATGCTCTTTCTCTCCCTGCCGAGTCCTATGGCAACGACGTGAGTATCCCTCTCTCGCCAGTCCCGCTCGCCGGGCGAGCCTGGGAGGTCAGCAGTGCTTGCCGCGCGGTTTTCTAACCCATTCCCCAATACCACTCGCAGACTGTTCGGTCTGCCAGAAACCGCGCCCGTCAGTTTCTTCTCGTTTATTTCGGTCCACAAACGCGGTACTGATGCTAATAGAAGTAGTTGCACATTTCGCTTCACTCTAGAATAGACGGTAAAGGTTTAAACATTCCGCTGTTAGGTCGCAGTCTATACCTATTAAATCAGAATATGTGGAGGATTAAGTTTTTTTTATTATTTAAGTCCCCGAGCGGTTCCTTTGTACAATAAAGATGTCCTAGCTTGTGGTTTAGGTTCCTAAGGAGAAAGCCCGTGATATATTTTGCGATACAAGACACAGCGACAGGAGAACATAACACGCAAGTAATAAGGTGATATATGCAGATGATTGGGTCAGGCTGTAAGAGCCAAAGAAGTTTAACTGAAGTAACTCCTAAAAACAGGCAAAAGAGGAAGACTCCACTGAGGAAGTGACTCCAACTGGATACTCAAGGTGTAGGTGGATAAAGAACATAGATTGGCACCCATAGACGTAAGAATGCAAATGCAGAAAAATTGCAGAGAGCTCAGTGAAATATAATAGATCCCATTTAGTTGGAGTGGAAGATTTAAATGGAACATGTGGTGGGTGCTTATAGCAACCTAGCTATAGGTACCACAAGTTTGGTACCATTCCCTTTCTGAGTGTTATAGGATGGCATTCGGCTATCTGATAAACAAATGGTGTAGCGTCATGATATGCTATACTCTTAAAACTAAAAAGTAATTTAATTTACATTATCTTATTTGGTCCTCTCATCAGTTAGTGTCAGTGGGTATGTTATTTCAGTTTTGCAATAATTTAACTCAGTCCTGAGAAGGTAATTTATCTACTGTTTGGTGTAGTCTCTCACACTTTCACTAATTGTTGGGAAAAGATAGCCAGCGGCTTATCCCATTTACCAGGACAAGTTAGGTAGCCTTTTTTTAGTTGTCCTAAGGACAAATGGATTATTATATTCTCCAAACCCATTGGTCCAGTTTTTATCCTTTGATAATACAGTTTGGTAACCCATTCAGACATCCACAGACTTCCTTAATTTGTTCTTTGAGAGATTTCTCATCTGGCATTCTTTACTCCTTTGCAGCCAGACATTGAAATGGCTTGGGCCATGAGGGCAATGCAGCATGCTGAAGTCTACTACAAGGTGAGTTGTCTATCTTCATTATTAAGCAGAATTAAATATGTAATTGTAGTGTATGCTGCTCTACTAGTCACTATTCTCAGCAAGTGAAGCAGTTGTGTTTTGGAGATACTTTTTATTACTGTACGGTACGATCTTGCCCATAAAGAACATGGGGGTGGAGATGAATTTTTTTTTTTAAGATATATTTATTTGTACATACAGAACTGGGGTACAGGCCAGAGGCGGTGAGAGGCTTCACCAGAGACAGAGTGGGGAGCAGAACAGGTAGATCAACGAAGTACACTGCTGAGGGGAGCAGCGGGCGGGCCAGGAGAGGTCTGCCGCGCCATGTGGTCTCCGGGGCAAGCGGGAATTGAACTCATGCGGAAGTGGCTTTTTAGCTTCTCAGTGCAGTGCTTTAACCCGCTGCGCCACCAGGGAGGACCGGAGATGAATTTTTTTTGGGACAATGAAGGCTCTCTGTTTCTTTTCCCAGTGCCTACCCCATAACAGGCACTTAATATTTGTTGACTGAATGAATAATCTACAAAAGGGCAGTAGCCCTTTAACATGATTTTATGATTTAATCCAAGACCTAGGCTCTCTGTACTTTGAATGAACTCTTCTGCCTTGAGAACCATGAGGATTTTCTGGGGAGGGGGGATGTTAGAAGTGTAGTAAATTAGAGATTACCTTCGGTATGTTGTCTTATTGTTGGCAGCTGATCTCATCGGTTGACCCACAGTTCCTGAAACTGACCAAAGTGGATGACCAAATCTATTCTGAGTTTCGGAAAAATTTTGAGAAACTCAGGATAGATGTGTTGGACCCAGAAGAACTCAAATCAGAATTAGCTAAAGAGGTAAGAATTCTCACTCTTAAATATTGCCTAGTATGTGACCAACTTGATAGTGAATGCATTTTTTATATTTTGAAACTCTTACTTGGTTTTTGTTTAAGGGAAGGACATAAAGAACCAGGGCTTTTATGCAGTTGTGTTTAATAAATTATAAAATTAATGTTCTTTTAGTTTATGGGTTTTCATATTCATTGAATCTATTTTATTCTTCTCCTTTTTGACTTGGACATTTCATCCCTATTCACCCCTTTCAGGGAAGGAGAAATAAATATACTGATGTGAATAGCTTAGGGAGAAGGCTTGTCTGGAGGAGTAAATAGGGTACACAGAGGTGTTTTGATTCTCTGGATTTAGATTCACAGTTTCACAGGCCGTGGATAATACTTGCACCTTTTAATTATATATTTTTACAGAGAATCAGAACTTTTATAATTGTGGAAATATTTTCCCTTAAGAATAGGCTGTTGGCTTAATGAAGAAAATAATTGTTTAACTCTTAAACAGCCCGTTACTGATCTTTGGGAAAATTGCCAGTACCAAATGGATGACTTTCTTAAAATTTAACTTAGTGATTTTGGGCCAGACTCCTGGCTCTTTGTCTCATTTTTGCTTCAGTGGGGAGGAATAATCATTTTAGACTGAGCTAGCCAATAATTCAACACACACGCACACGCACACGCACACGCGCACACACACACACACACACACACACCCCAACACCCCAGAATCTATTTAAGAAATCAAATTTTAATTTTGTGGTCAAGGATTTAAGTATTTTGTCAGATTAAGGGCCCTCCCTGGTGACACAGCAGGTTAAAAACACAGTATGATAAAGCTATCCAAAGCCACTGCAGCATGAGTTCAATCCCTGTTCAGAGAGGTGACCCACATGGTGTGGCAGACCTCTCCTGACCCACCCACTGCTCCCCTCAGCAGGGTATTTCAGTCAGTCTGCTTGTTCTGCTACCCACTCAGTCTCTGGTGAATCCTCTCACCTCTCACATCTGTGGCCTGTACCTCAGTTCTTGTATGCATAAATAAATAAATCTTTAAAAAAATAAATTGTTCACAATGGGAAATACCAATCTAAAGACTCAATAAATGTCCCAGAAATTTGCTGTTAGTTAAGCTAGCAATCAGCTCAATCTTGGCCTCTAGCACTATGATTATTTGCCTTAGGATGTACAAGTCCCGCCCCTGTGCAGCTTCACCAGCCTCCTTCATTTGTCAGCTGAAATACTTCTTTTCTTTTTTGGCTTTTATAGAAATGGAGACCATTCTGCTTAAAGTTTGATGGGATTGTAGAAGACTTCAACTATGGTACTTTGCTGCGACTGGATTGTTCTCAGGGCTACACTGAGGAAAATACCATCTTTGGTGAGTTTCTTTTTAGAATTGTTTCTGTATAAGAAGAGCAAGTGATCCAATTTTAGGGATGAATCGATGGCATGAGTAATTTGGGGATCACCTTATTTGTTACATCTTTAAAGATCTTACTATTTCATGAATAACTGAAATAAATATTTTCAGTCTCATTTAGTCTAGGATTAGAATTCCACATCAGCAAAGCCTATGACTATCATGAATGCTTTGGCTCATTAGTTTGGCTTTGTCAATCGACACTTCAAGTAAGTTTAAAGATGTAACTGAGACTAAGATATTAATCATTTCTATTCACCTTTTAGCGCCCAGGATACAATTTTTTGCTATTGAAATTGCTCGGAACCGGGAAGGCTATAACAAAGCAGTTTACACCAATATTCAGGACAAAGAAGAAGTAACCAACAGTGGAGAGGAAAAAATAGTTGACAGTGGAGAAGAGAAAGGAGCCAACAGAGAAAGAGAAGAAGAGAAAGCTGAGAAGGAACGAGAAAAATAGAAGACAACAAAGAAATCAGAAATGGTGAAACAGATATGTAAAGTAGAAGGAACACTCTAGAAGCTGAACCTACAAATACGATCCTGCTGTATCGACAGACCCCCTAAGGTTAAATGCATGTTACTTGTGCAATTGAGGGACGCGCAGAAGGACATTTTTCTAGTCTAATTATCAGGAGCTACTCTCGTTCCATTGTGTGAACTGGCTTAAAGACTTAATGAGGTTTTAGCTGGTTGTTTCTTGGTATATTGTTTTCTGGTTCTCACTACTGGCCAAGTGGGAAATTCTGTAAATAAGTTTCTTTTGATTCTTATGATGATATCGAAAAGTGACTTTTAGAAGTTATTTAAAGTATTTGACACTGCATATTTTTTCAGGTATATAATCTCTTTGTCATGTCTTATATAAAATTATATGTCTGTTTACGAATGCTTTACACTGCTGTTTTTGTAGTGAAGTTCTTTCAAACATGTTAAAGTTGTATGTGGTTTTGGGATTAGAAGTCTTTATTATAAGAATTGGCTTTTACCATTTGTGTGACTGTAGCTTTCTGATTTTCTTTGATAGAGCAAATAGAAGATTTGATAAATATGTAAATACTCTGGGGATAAAAGCAGCATCTGAACCTGTCAGGTTCGTGAATGTAGCTCCATTCACATTGGAGGAGAAGGATACCTGCTTCTGTACTGGTAGCCAAGTTGTTACCTGAAAGCGAGCAGCAATCAGTAATTAAATATAAAGCCTGGTAGAGTGGTGTCCCTTTTGTGATGCTGTGGATAAAAAGCATACATTTGTACCTTGACACAAAATCAACAGATTTTTAAATGCTTTTTTTCTTAAGTGTCAAAAAAAAATCACTTAAATTTATATGGATAAAAGGGGGCTTCCTTCTTATCTCTAGAACATATAATAACTGCTCTTAAAAGTCTAATCATGGAATTATCATGCAACAAAGGTTTTACCAGAGCAGAGAAAATAGGAAAATGAAAAATGAGACTTTTCCCCTATGGTGGACATAGAAAAATTAACCTAATTGGTAAGTTGTCCCCTAGATAAGAAGTGACCGAGAGATGCACACAGCAACACCCATGTCTTCATGAATTCTTTTTGGCCAGTTCTTTAAAAATTTTAAAACATTTGTTAGCATTTCAGTTTTATAAAATATGTTTTCAAAGGTTGGGAAAAGTGCTGAAAACTTCACACTAGGCAGGCTTTTTAAAATTTAGAACTTCAGTTACTGTATTAACTTTTCTACTTCATACACTCTTAAATAGCCGCAAACATGTCAATGCACATTACTTGAGGGACTGGGGAGGAATAAAGGCTACTGTCTACATACAGCTGTGCCTCCAGTGACCTTTTTCAGGTTGCTCGCAAGCAGGAACACAGACTTCCTTTCTGACTGATTTTACAGAGAACAAGAAACATACCTTTAAGTCAGACTGTGTTAAAGCAAGGGGCATCTCTAGGACTAGGGGATAAAAACTGGGGAAAAAGAATAAGGGCCTTTCTGGGTTAAGTCTCAGCACTATGAAGCTGTCTGCAGGCACCACAGCATGACTTCCATCCTCCACCAGTGATGTGACCCACATGGTGCAGCAGATTGCTCCTGTCCCACCTGCTGCTCCTCTCAGCAGTGTAGTTTAATCTGCCTGTTCTGCTCCCCACTCTTGGCTCTGGTGAATCCTATCACCCCCACACCTCTGGCCTATACCCCAGTTCTTATATACATTAATAAATCTTTTTAAAATGAGAGCAAGAGAATAAGAACACAGACCACTTTGGATGCTCTGAAGCCAGTAATGCATGGCAGTATCCAAGGTTAAAGGAGAGAGTGCAGATAAAACATATTCTATAACCCCTCCAGTTCTGTGTGGCTACAACTTGTGACTGAGAATTCATTGCTGTCATCAAGTTACTAACCATTTGCTTTTGAGCTAATCTAAAGGGAAATTGTCCTGATAGGATATGGCTTACCCAGTGAGTCCTTAAGCAACATTAGAAGCAGCAACGGATGCTCTATTGTCTTTGATGGCCAAACACCATGTTATGAGAGAAGAGGAATATGTGGACAAGACCTGGTGAACGCTAGGACTGAGTGTGCTCTGACAGCCAGCAAGAAAATAAAACTTTCACTCCTGTAGTTGGAAGGAGCTGAATTATGGCAATAGTCAATGGGCTTGGAAGAGCGCCTCGAGCCTCAGATGAAATTGCAGTCCTAGCTGATAATGGTGATCTTGGAGCTGAGCAGAGGACTGGTTAATCTGTAATACTTCTGACCCATAGGACTGTGATCTGATAATGGATGCTGTCTTAAGCCACTATTTATGTACTCATTTGTTACAGAGCAATAGAAAACCATCAGACATTGCTACTGGAAGGGGAGCACTGCTGTAACAAGTACCTGAAATGTGGGAATGGCATTGGAATCAGGCAGTGGGTGGAGGCTGGAAGAATTTTAGGGAGCAGGACTGAGCCAAAATTGCCTTGAATAGACCATCAATAGAAATGTTGGGCCCTCCCTGGTGGCGCAACGGGTTAGGACGCAGCACTGCAAGCTAGCAGCAGCCTCCTCAGTGCATGTTCAATGCGACCCCGGAGGTGACCCACATGGTGCGGCAGACCTCTCCTGACACGCCCACTGCTCCTTTCAGCAGTGTACTTTGTAGACCTTCCTGTTCTGCTCTCCACTCTCTCTGGTATAGACTCTTACCACCGCTGCACCTCAGGCCGATACCCCAGTTCTGTGTGAATAATTAAACCTTAAAAAAAAAAAGAAAGAAATGTGGATGTTAAGAATGTTGCTGGTGAAGGCTTAAAAGGACATAAGGAATAGGTTGAAAATTGGAAGAAGGGGATCCTATTGGTAGGTGATAGCATTGTTAGAGACCAGGAGGTTTGCGATCTGAGCCCTTTCCTCTGAATTATTTGGGAGATGATATCAAGCCAAGTTGACAGAGTATGAACGTGTATGATTAAGTAGGAACCTGTATGAAGTCAGTATGTGATCAGGTTCTGCTATCTTCATGACATCTTTTGGAGACACGAAAAGGCACAAAGTTTTACATTTTACAAAAGGGAAAACAACTCTTAAATTTTAAGTTCTACATTTGTGATAAATTGTTACAGCAGCCACAGGAAACTAATAAAGAAGGCATACTGAGCTCTGCTCCAGATGTAGAGAAATTCACAATGCTATTATTTAAAAAATGTTGCTGAGACAATGATTGTTGTACCAAATGGTCCGAAACAAATTTTATCAAAAATAAACTTGAATGATTGTAGACTGTTTTGACCTTTCCAATGGAGCTCCTGTAGCCGGACCTTTTTGTGTTAGGTGCAATCAGTATAATTGGAAGTTCTAAATTTGCTTCCCCGTGTAAGACTTATTAATGAAAATGTGCTCATTTGAAGCTTACCTGTATAGCAATAAAATGCAACAGTAGCTTTATCAATTGTTTAGAACTTAGACCCAGAAAATAATTTGGGGAAGAGGAGTATTTTACTACTGATATTGTTTAAAATTGACAGAGCGTGGTCATAATTAAAGCACATTATATTTTGGTTGGTTTTACCACTATTTTAAAATTTTTCAACAATATAGATGGACCTAGAGGGAATATGTTTCAATAGAGGAAGACAAATACCACATGATTTCATTGATACATGCTATATAGAGGGGAAAAATTCAACATGAATTAAACAACTAACACTTTGACTGTAAGACCAATTAGTGGTTACCAGAAGGGAAGAGAAGGGGGAGACTGGGAAAAGGGGAGCAATGTTATAATGAAGATAGAATATAGATATATATCAAATATATATATATATATATTGTTTCTTGATGCACACCTGAGACATACAATGTTATCATGCAATATTAGGAATATGTAGGAACTCAGTCTTAGCTAATACATAAATGGGTAAAACAATGCCTGCACAGACATGGTAAGGATGGCTAATTACAATGAGAGCAACACAAAAGTGCTCACAATGCTGAGGATTACATGTGTAGTGATGGCTAAGGGCTCTGTTGTGCCTGTGTATGATCCTTCTCTGGTGACTCGGCAATGTTGGGCAGTGTGTCCTGTGGACACAGCAGATCCTTCAGACTTCCTTTAAAATGTGTTCCAGTAAGAACAATAATTTCTCGTTTTCTTGCATACATACCAAACACTTGGTAAATAGTCTTCTATCTTCAGTGTAGAGACAGCCTTTTCATGGACCAAAACTGTGACCCAGGGGCTCACTATTTCATTTTAGGAACTTTATTTTTCATTCTTACATTTTGAAATCTACATGTTTGATAACCTGTAAAATGAAATACATTTTACATAGAGACAACACTGTAAAGTGGAAATAACTTCTCTTCACCATCTTCACTGTTCTATGACTTCACTCAGTTATGGCAGACATATCAGGCAGAGCACAACTCTGGAGCTGGTTTTACTTCAAGTAATAGTAATGGAAAACAAAGATTTTGGATTTCAGATGGCTTCAATTTGAATCATCCCTGACTCCATCACTTGTTGACTTTGGACAAATTACTTGATCTGTGAACTTCAGCAGCTCTGCTAGTTAAGATGAGTTGGGGGGTGGGGGGAGATAGCACTGCTTATCACAGCCACAGGTCTCTAGTGACCGGCGCATGGCAAATGCTCAACATGTGTGATTATTTATTGTTGTTGCCAAGAATCTTCTCGGTGTTCATAGATGGGATTAGGCATCAAGGGTTTTTTGTGCTCATTGAGAGGACAACCTTTATTTTGTGGGGGAACGTCTCTCACAAGAGGGTCAGGACTATAACCTCTGAGTTAGAACTCTGTGGTGTACACTGTTTATTCATCATTGTCCTGTCTGTACCAGAAGAGCAACATAGTGATGTGCATCAATCATAATAGTGATAGGGAGAGCTGGAACATTTTATTTTGAATCATTAATAACTGTCCTTAGCCCCTGTGGGTCCAGGTAGCTTGTCAGTCTTATTTGTGGCCAAATATTTCTATGACTTATTTTTATTTATTTATGCATACAAAAACTGAGGTGTAGGTCAGAGGTGTGTATGTGGGGGGTGGGGGGTTGAGAGGATTCATCAGAGACAGAGTGGAGAGCAGAATAGGCAGATCTACTGAAATCCACTGCTGATGGGAGCAGAAGACAGGACAGGAAAGATCTGCTGCACCATGTGGGTCAGCTCCCTGGCCTGAGTTAGAACTCATGCTGCAGTGGCTGGCGATAGCTTCATAGTGCTGATACTTAAACCCTTGCACCACTAGGGAGGCCCCTGTGGGCAAATACTTAACACAGTAAGAGGGCAAATAGCCCCCTCGAATGACGGTCCCTCAGCAAAGATTGGACAACAGAGCCAAATAAAAATTTAAATGAAATCTGACACAGCAAAAAGGTACAGCTTTAATAGGTAGGTTAATGCATCCATATTAAGGTTAATTCTGTGATCAGTATTATTGGAATACTATTGGAGGCATTTTTACATTTTCCATGTTGTTTTTGCAAATTCGCTCACAGTCTCAAGACTAGAGGGTGTCTCCCTTTAAACACATTCCTGTTGATGGCAATTTGCGCCATCAGGATGTTCTCATCTACTTTCGCTTATGTTCTTGGCCTATCAAACTGGAAGAAAGTAGCCTAGTAGTGTCATGATGAAAAGCTGTGTTCTCCAGCCATTTCAGCAAAGCTGTTTGCCTTTTCATTTTACTTTAAACATTATTTCCCATTTGGATTGGGGAAAATGATCTCTCAATATTCCTTTAACGTTTTTTAAAAACATACAAAGTCATTCTTTTTAAAGATCTTTTTATATTTAATTTCTTTATATATATATATATATATATATATATATATATTAGATCGTTTATAGTCCCCATAGAATTTGCACAATTAGTTCACCTGTGCACAATCACATTAGTCCCTTGTGCTCTTCCCGCCCTTGTTTTATACACTCTCTGTATATCCTGCTATCCTGCAGAATTTGTCTGATTTATACCTGTCTCATCATGTTTAGTTTTATTGTATTTTTTAAATTGTTATTATTTCCCCCCTGATTCCTCACTTGGTTTCTCTGTATTCCTTCTATAAGTAAAACCACCCAATATTTTCCTTTTGCCTTCTGACTTATTTCACTGAGCACAAACCTTTCTAGCTCCATCCATGTTGCTGCAAATAGCCTTAGATTATCTTTTTATTGCTGAATAGTGACTCATTGTGCATTTATACCACATCTTCATAATCCAGTCATCTATTTTTAGGCATTTTGGTTGTTTTCAAGTCTTTCCTATCATAAATAGTACTGCAATAATCATAGAGGTGCAAGTGTCCTTTTGAATCAATGTTTTTGTGTCCTTTGAATAGATTCTTAGGAGTGGGATTGCTGGGTCAAATGCAAGCTCCATTTTTAGTAGTTTGAGAAGCCTCCACACAGTTTTCCATAGTGGTTGTACTAGTTTGCATTCCCACCAGCAGTGCAGGAGAGTTCCTTTATTGCCACATTCTCGCCAACATTTGTTGTTGTTAGTTTTTTTTTTTTAACATGTGCCATTCTCACTGGTGTAAGGTGGTATCTCTTTG